TTCAATTCTTACCTTGATACATGTATAACCCATCACTGGTAGGGTAACCAAACATTATTTGGATTTAAGTTTGGTGCTAAATCCAGGAGCCTAAGTAAGTCAGTGATTGGGAAACCCTCAATGTGGAATAGTTGTTTTTTTCCTAGAGTTCAAGGTTTTACCTGACTACCTGTGAAAAGTGTCTAAAAAACAACATTTTTATACACATACACACACAGACAGAAATAAACAACTCCTATCACCCAGGTTTGCTGGTATATTATGAGAACCTGGGAGAACTGAAGATTTTTGCCTTCCTGGGATACATGCTAATGAACAATGCTGATGCTAATGCTGATAGCATCACGTAGCTGTAAATAAACTCCATCTTTGCAGATATATTAACTTTCACCAGATTTCAAGAAAAAGTTGCTACACACTTAGAAATCAGCTGAATATTCCTGAACTTACAACCTTAACTTTTAAATCACACATTTAAGGCAATCTCATCATGTACAGGTCTGGTAACAACCTCATTGCCATAGTTGCCTAGAGGCTCCCATTTCCGGCAGTGTCTTCTGTTTCTTCTCTCACAGACATGTGGCCAGTACACTAGGTATGTAACAAAGATTATAACTCTGTTTCGAAATGCTTGGAAAATGTGTTCTCTTTGATGTATCTCTGTGAACTAACTGCACATGGAAGGCTGCTGAAGCTGCAGGCATCGGAGGACACTTGGAGCCTCAGGGCTACGGTGTCAGAAGTGCTGACACAAAACAAGGCAGCTGTGGTTGCTTACTGTGCAAAGGGGCGTGGCAAACTGTAGAGCTACGGAGTGATTAACTGCTAGTTGTTCTAATTAATGCCTTATAAATAGGAATCAGGAGAAGTATCTCTAGAATGACAAGATAAAAAAAATAACAAAGATGAAAGCAGAGTCTGGTTGACGTTCTTGTTTCTCTTTTTGATATAAAATACCCAAGGAACTTTGTTTATTATTTGGGGTAGAACATCATTAGGGACTTCTCTGCTGCCTGGATTTTCTGAGAGCGGTTTGCCCAACCCTAGACACACACAGCCCAGCTTCTGTGTATTCTTTCTGGCACAATCAGACAGGTACACAAAAGGCTTCTCCAATTTTTACGCTCCCACTTGAGAAGCAAATAGGAAAGCTTGGTTTAGTGGGCACTAGTCTAGAACTTGCTTTCAGGAGAGGGGAAGAACTCCTACAAGCTGCTGGGGTCAATCTGTCTTTATAGAACTGTTTTATATGGAAACAATGGGAGTCTGTAGAAAGGTAGAAGAACGTCTCTGCTAGTTCTGAGATAGATATAAGATGATGCACATAGCTGGAAAAAAATTAGAGATTGGCAGACTGAATTATAATTTTCAGGGAGAGAACTGGTCCAAAAATGTCAAAGAAAGAACATGTATATGCCAGGCTTCTATTCAGTGGGCCATAATTATGGAGAAGGAGCAAAAGGAGTCTGACTTGCTCCTAATGGAGAAGATCAATCTGCCATTTTACTTTTTCAAATTAGAACAATCCTTAGGAGTGGTGTGAAAGGCTAGTAAGAAATGCTGATGCTCTCTAGAATCTTTCAGGTTGCCACAATGAAGACTAAATAGCTCTGTGCATTAAGGATGTAAAGGAAGAATGACTCTAATGAGAGGGACCTAGGTTGATGTGGTCCTTATGGGTCTTAACAACACTGGTGGAATATCTTTATCCTTCAGTGTCTACTGACTCAGGTGCTCACATCCTTGAACTTCTGAGTTTGCTCTAAGGCATCAGAAGACCTGAGCTCAGATCTGGTCCTGTGGCTGTGGACAGGGCATCCAATTTTCTTGAACTTTGGTTTCTCTACCTGCCCAGAAAGAAGAAAATCTTTGTACAGAGACTTCTTTAAGCCTTGCAAAATCTTATCACGCTTACAAGTTGCATCATTAGCATCACAACTGACTGAAGTGACTGAAGAATTAGGAAGAAGATACACTTTAAAGATTAACTAGAAAGCAAGGGAGTAGAGACAGCGTTGAGAGAGGACAAAGTCTAATAGAGAATTTCAGTTTGAGTAGTGCCTTATGGATGTGCCTATCTGGCAGCTAGAAAGGTGGCTGTCAGCTTTCTCCTATGTGGAAAAGTGATGCTGAAAAGGATGTGCGTCCTGTGGATGGTCTCTGGGTCCAAGTACTAAAGTGAAGGAAGGACTTGATATGACAGGACAAGTCATGAGGGTAATGTCTCAAGATCTTCATTAGATTTCTACTTTCAAGGTTCATTTTTCTCTGAAGAGAGGTTTTGGGCAGCAAGCAAGACATCACGATTTTGCTGGCACAGACTCCTTGACTGTGGGGTATGATCTTGGGGGCCAAACTCTTCATATAATCATTAAGTCCATAAATAATTATTAGGAACCAACTCTATATAGTGCTCTGGAGAACAATAGCAAGTATTTAATATGTGCCAGCATCCTTTTAAGGGTTTCACATATGTTAGCTTGTTTGATCCTCATTATAACCCATGAAGTTGGGCCTGTGGTCATCTGTACTTCATATGAGGCATGGAGAGGCTAGGTATCTGGTTCAAGGTCATAGTAGGTGGAGTCATGATTTGGAGGCAGGCTGGCTCTAGAGCCCATGCTCTTGCATATCAGATAGTGACCATGACAGGTAAGTCCGAGTGAAAAGGGAAATTGGACAACTGGAAGGTCTGGGAAGATTATTCCAGGTAGAAGGTACAAAGACTCTGAGATGGAAGTAAGGTGGAGATGTGTACTATGGACATGAAGGAGGTACTGACATAGCATGAGGGAGACAAGAACAATGGAGGCCTTTGAGGACATTATAAAGACCTCAGATTTCATTCTCAGGGTGCTACAAAGCCCTTGTAGGGTTTTGACCAGTGGTGTAACCTGCTCTGATTTTCTTTATAAAAAAGAACACTCTGGCAGTGTGTAAAGAACAGAACATTTGGGGAGGGGGCAATCAGGAAGGCAAGTTAGAAGGTTATTAGAGTGGCCAGTGAGAAGAAAATACATATGCTACTTTATTTAAGGCCTTTTCACCAAGGGTAACTTATTCCAGCTTAGAATAAGGTGGCTCTAGTAGTCCTCTACATCTCAGAAGCTAACTATGATAAATGTTATTCTTGAATTCTGGAACAGTCTTGATGTGAAAGGGAAGGGAATGCAAACCTCCCAGGTGTTGACTTATAACTGGCTAACTAGTTCTCCGTTGGAATGAGAATGTCAGGGCCTCTCTGAGAAGGATCTTCAAGGATCTCATAATCAATCCCCAGCTGCTCAGCTAGCTAACATGGAAGCCCTGGGCATTTGTTGGGCTGTCCTAGTGGGGACACAGAGGCTCCAGTGTTTTGAGTTTGCTTTAAGTGCATTCACTGGGGATGTTTGATGGCAGCCAGTCTAGTCTTTTTTTTATTTTTTTATTTTTGAGAGGGTAGTATTATCACTTCAAATGAAGATACAGCTGAAATGGTGGAACAGATTACTTACAGGTGCCTTTTCTAAGCCTTTTCTACTTTGAGTAACTTTATACCAACAGATAAAACCACGCCTGTTTTGGAGATGCTTGCCAACTTTTACATGGGAAAGTGCCAAAGAATTAAATCTTTCTGAGTTTTTGCAAAATAAGGACTTAGGCTGATTGTTTTTCCAAGTTCCAGTGCTAAAGGATCCCATAAAATTCAACCACTAATGCCTGAAAAATGGCATCATTCTAGAATTTTCAATATGCAACTCATATTTATCTGCCACCATCAAAGTATATGCAAAAGTGAGGACCAGTTTCTTTTCATGGCTACCCTATTATCTTTTTATTCCCTTAGTTAAAGATAATTTCCTAGGCTTGTCTGAATGTGGCAAAGTTATTCTACTGCTAAATAACTACAGAACTTGAGGGTCATCAGATTCTGAAATGTTACTCTAGAAGGGGTTGTTTCATTATATAAGCAATAGAATAAAACCTTTAATTTTAACAAAATGAAACTACAGTTTTTAATACTGCTTTTTTGAATTCTGTTTAGAGTCAAGCATGAAGATTATATGTTAATATATTATGATACAACATAATGTCAGTCAAGCTGGTACCTCCTGATGAAGCCAAATAAGTCCTTTCCAAAATACAAGCAGAAATTAGAAAAATGGTAAGGGGCTTCCCTTCCACATTTTATAAACAAATTTACCACAAGAGGGAAAAATGAATAGAAGCAGAAATGAAGCTCATGGTGTGATTGTTGATAAACCCAAGAAAAATAGTGAAAAGTATAATTTTGTCAGAGAGTGAGAAAATCAACTGATAGCAGGCTACTTTACTTTAGCCTTTGGCTTTCTAATGAATTTTGCATAAAGATGAACATGTCACACTACCTAGACTGTGCTGCGGCAGACGTTCTGCTTTACCTCAAAAGCAATAGAAAGGCAAGAGCAAATCAAGGTGATCCCTGGCCCTTCCATAAGATGAAAACAAAAACACCTTCCAGGACTTCTTTATGGAGTCCACCCCAAAGCAGTAATTTATACCACCTGCACCTGCAGATACATCTTCCACGGGGCAACAAAACTAGGTTCATCACCAACAACCATGTCTTCAAGAAACAGGCAATCTTATCTTGAACTATGATATTAAAATATTAAGAAAAGTAGAATATATTTATACTTTTTGACACATGTCTATATATAGATGTGTAATATATGTTAAAAAAAGAACAACCTTTTTTTGAAGTTTCCCATATTTAAAGCATTGACTTTTAGTTAAATGTGACAATTCAGCTTCCCAAAGAATGCATTCCCTGGAAATTCTGAACAGCTGATATTTTCCTTTATGTTCTCCTTGAATTAAAAAATATAATAGGCCATCTTTCTATGTCTATATGAGTAAATGGAAGAGAGTTTTATGATTCTGTGTAAATCATAAACACCAAAAGCAGTGATGTCTAATCAAGGGATGTGTCAAAACTTTAAGCTCTTAATGAGAAACAGTTCATCACTGAACTGTCTTACCTGTCGACGAATCATTTCCAGGTCTCTTTTGGCTTTATTCACTAAAGTCTGAATTTCTACAGGATCTTTTACATTCTTATTTTCTCTGAAGGCATCTCTTATTCTCCTGATAGCATAAGTTCTAAACAAATTCAGGGGGGTAAAAAGAGAAAAGGTGTCAGCATCTCTGAAGCTACGCTTTTAATGAATTTAAAAGTTTTGCCTTAGTAATCATTGTCTGATATTCTCCTATGGATAATCACTTTGATATTTGCTCTTGGGACAGGCCCATCTACTACAATTCTGGGATGACTAAGCAAACATATTTAGGGATATAAATCTACCTCAAATGAGTCATATACAAATGGCATACTGTTACAGAAGTGCTCCTTAGATTACTGGTTCTTTATAGAGTTATTCACATCTGGCTTCCTTCCATTTACATGGCTAATTGAACCTTTAACGTACAGAGACAAAGCAAGAACTGAGGGAAAATGATGCACCACATACACATGCATGAAGACATAGTGATCTAAGCTGGACTTGGGGCAGCACTTCAATCTTGTCCCATATTTTGGCTATTTCATCCTCTTGTATAACTTAATGTTAGGATCCACATTAGGATCGTACCTCAGTCCAGAGTGGAGATTACGCCAAAATGCTTTAAAGTACACACATAAACACATATGTAAGCATGTGTTTATGTGGAGGCTAGCACCTCCTCTCCCTATATAAATTATATGCAGTGCAAGAACAGAGGTTCAAGAACAATGCTTTCAAATCAGACAGGCTTGGGTCTGAATTCTTGCTCTAGCTTCTAGTGCTTGTGTGAACCTGGACAAGCTTCTTAACCCAGGTTTTCTATCTGTCAGACAGGCACAATCCTGTCTACCTCTCAGCAATGCTGGGAGGGTTAAGCTTTACGAGGAATGCCTGGAATCTGGCACAGAATCTGGTACAAAAAAAAGACTCAATAAATGAAAGCTATTCCACTTCTTGCTATTCCTTATTGCAGCTAGTATTTGCCTCTCCTCACATCACTGTCAAACCACACTGCATTCCTAGAGGGTAGTTGATCTGGATAATTAGCCATAACAGAAGAGTCAAGAATCATTAACCTGATAAACTCCCACACTCTGAGAGTCATGGCCTTGAACCCCAGGGCCACCTGTCTGCACCAGAGTAAAGACAAGGCACTAAGAAGAAGCAGCCCAAGTCAAACATATTAGAAACAATTTCTGCTAGTCTTTGCATCATCTCAGATTGAGTGGCTCTTAACTTTGAACACCTGCTAAATAATCCATGTGAAACTATTAGCAATGTTTAGAAACAGAAGAATGAAAATAGAGGCTAAGAAATAGGAGAAGAGGATTATAATTTCCCAGGGAGCTGGGGTGGGTGGATATTGGGAGGAGGATACAATTTACTAGGGAACTGTATTCAATTTTAAAGTATATTTTATTTATTATGACATTACAGTTGTCCCGTTTTTTATCCACTTTATTCCTTTCTGCCCTGCAACCTCCCCCCACCAGCATTCTACCCCCTCTTAGTTCATGTCCATGAGTCAGACATTTAGTTCCTTAGCTTCTCCATTTACCATACTATTCTTAAGTTCTCCCTGTCTATTTTGTACCTCTTAAGCTTGTACCATTTAAGCTTCTTATTTCCTGCACCTTTACTCCATTCTCACACCTCCCACCCTGGCTGATGATATCCCTCCCTCTTCATTTGTTATTCTGTTCCTGCTCTACTTGTTTGCTTAGCTTGTTTTTACTTTTATATTTTTGTTTTCTGGTTCAGTTATTGATAATTGTGAGTTTGTTGTCATTTTATTGTTCACAGTCTCAATCTTTCCATAGATAAGTCCCTTTAACATTTCATATGATAAGGGCTTGGTGATGATGAACTCCTTTAACTTGAACTTATCTGGGAAGCACTTTATTTAACCTTCCATTCTAAATAATAGCTTTGCTGGATAGAGTCATCTTGGATGTATGGAGGTCCTTGCCTTTCATAACTTTGAATACTTCCTTCTAGCCCCTTCTTGCCTGCAAGGTTTCTTTGGAGAAATCAGCTGATAGTCTTATGGGATCTCTTTGTAGGGAACTGTCTCCTTTTCTCTTGCTGCTTTTAAGCTTCTCCTTATCTTTCATCTTGGATAGTGTAATTATGATGTGCCTTGGTGTGTTCCTCCTTGGGTCCAACTTCTTTGGGACTCTCTGAGTTTCCTGGACTTCCTGGAAGTCTATTTCCTTTGTCAGATTAGAGAAGTTCTCCTTCCTTATTTGCTCAAATAAGTTTTCCACTTGTTGCTCTTCCTCTTCTCTTTCTGGTACCCCTATAACTCAGATGTTGGAACATTTGAAGATGTCCTTGAGGCTCCTAAGCCTCTCTTCATTTTTTGGAATTATTCTTTCTTCATTCTTTTCTGATTGAATGCTTCTTTCTTCCTTCCAGTCCACACCATTGATTTGAGTCCCAGTTTCCTTCCCATCACTACTGGTTTCCTGTACATTTTTCTTTATTTCACTTAGTATAGCCTTCATTTTTTCATCTAATTTGTGACTAAAATCAACCAATTCTGTGAGCATCCCAATTACCAGTGTTTTGAACTGTGCATCTCATAGGTTGACTATTTCTTTGTTGCTTAGTTGTATTTTTTTCCTGGAGCTTTGATCTATTCTTTTATTTGGGACATTTTTTTTTGTCTTGATATGCCTGTTATGTAGTGAGGGGCTGAACCTTAGGTGTTCATCAGAGTGCAGCAACCCAGTCTCTGGGTTGTGATGCTGTATGTGGGGGAGGGGTCTCAGAGGGAATAATGGTGCCTGCTCTGCTGTCGAATTTCAGTCACTTTCTTGATTTCCCCCAAGCAAAATGGGCCCTTTTGGTGCTGATTCCCATGTGGGTGGGTTTGTGTATGTCCTGGGACCCTGTGGGTCTCTCCAACAAACTCTCCTGTGAGGCTGGGTGTTTCTCCTGGCACCTCAACTTCCACAGGTGTTTTCAATTGGTGTTTTGAGGCTTTATTTCCCTGTGCTGGGACCCTGGGTTGCATGGTCTGTCTCGCTCCCCAGTTTTTCCTGGTTTATCTGTGTGGGAATATGGGACTGCCCCACCCACCAGCTGCCTTGTATGCACCCCTCCACAATCCGCCACCTAGGTCTGCCTGCTGCTGCCTTGCGTGCCCAGTGTCCACCAGCCACTGCTCTCCTGCAACCCCTCTGTACCCAGCTGCCTGACTCCGCCCCTTCTACTGGTCTGGATGAATGTATCTACTTTAATGCCTTGGTTGTTGGACTTCCTTACAGTTTAATTTTCTGTCTACTGGTTGTTTTTTGTTTCTAAATGGTTATTGTCCTTCTTTTGGTTGTGCGAGGAGGTACAGTGTATCCACCAATGCCTCCATACTGGCCAGAAGTGCCTGTATATTTTTATTTCACTTTTTATAGCCTTCACTTCCTCCTCTATTTTGCAACCATACTTAACCAATTCTGTGAGCATTCTGATTACCAATGTTTTGAACTTTTGTATCTGATAGGTTGGCTATCTCTTAATCTCTTAGTTGTATTTTTTCTGGAGCTTTGATCTATTCTTTCAGTTGGACTACAGTTCTTTGTCTCAGCACACCTGTTATACTGTAAGGGCTAAACATTTCTAAAGTACAAGAAAACTTTAAATGACACATTGAAATATCAGGTCCATTTGCATTTAAAAGCAAGATTAAAAAGGTATCTTGTAACTTTAACAGCCATAAAGTATAAGTCAGTTTAGGAACTTGCATTTTTAGGAATTAAACCACTACTAGACTTTCATCTTAATCCTACATGAACCACCTGGAGTAGCTGTAGAGGACCTTCTCTTAGGGCAACAATAACTGGAAATGGAATCCTTGTAGTAGCAGACACTTTATAACTGGGACTTATTCACTCATAAAGGTGTATGGGAGGACTTTACTAACCGACTTATATTATACATTATTTTCTTCACATACCGTTACTAATCTAACAAGACTTTAGACAGTAGGTAGACAACCTAAAAGTGATTTCTGTCTTACTTTCTTGCACAACATAATGACTATTTATAAGACCCAAAAATCAATCTTCCTCATACACACATACTCCTCCAAAACAGTTTCTTTTTTGGTGGTGATGGGAGCAGAGAGAGGAGAAAATAATTTAACTTGAATATTTTATTTAATATGAGATTGATTTCATAATAGAAATTAACCTCAGAGAATCATCCATTCATTTGATTCTTTATTCAGGATGCTGCATGGGCTGTTTGGAAAAATAAAATTTTCAACAGTAGTCATTATTAAATGGATTTTTCTAAAAGCTAGTGAGTAGCCAAGAGTAGCTAGAAAAAAGGGAGTATGGCTTACAATATAAAGACCTAAGTTCATCCAAAGTTTCAGGAAATTAGAAAATAGCTTAAGAAAGAGCTTCATCAGCACCAAATCAGTATTATAAGAAATGTTAAGGGGACCCCTTTAAGAAAAAGAAGAAAAACAGATAAAAATATGAATAGCAAAATGGCAGTAACTACGTAACTATTGATAATTACTTTAAATGTACATGGATTAAATGCTCCAATCAAAAGACATAGGGTGGCTGAGTGGAGGGGAAAAGAAAGATGGCTATAAGGGACCTACTTCAGAAGAAAGACGTACACAGACTAAAGTAAAAGCATGAAAAAAAGAGTATTTTATGCAAACAGCAACAAAAAAAGTTGGGTAGCGATACTTGTATCAGACAAAATAGACTTTAAAATGAAGGCTATATCATAAAGACAAAAAAGGACATTTCATACATAATATCCAAGATATAGAAGCAACCTAAGGGTCCATCAATAGATGGTCAGATTAAAAAAAATGTGGCACATATATTCAATGGAATATTTACTCAACCATAAAAAAGAATAAAATCTTACTATCTGCAACAACATGGACCTAGAGGGTATTATGCTAAGTGAAATAAGTCAGACAAAGACAAATGCTATATGATTTCACTTATATATGGAATTTAAAAAACAAAATAAATGAACATTCAAAACATAAACTACACAGAACAGACTAATGGTAGCCAGAAGGGGGAGGGTTTTTTAGGGGCTGGATGAAAAAAAAGGGGAGGGATTAAG